GGCCGCCGGCGGCGGGGCGGCGGGCCTGGGCGGCCCCGAGGGCGGCCCGGGGCCCTCGGCCGTCGCGGGCGGCAAGAAGGTGCCGCTGCGGAACCGCAACCTGCCGCTCTCCTTCTTCACCGAGCCCTCGGCCTCCAGCCGCGCCGGGGCCGCCGCGCCCAGCGCCGGCCCGAAGGAGCAAGGCGGGCCCGGGCCGGCGGAGGAGCTCTTCGACCTGCTGGCCGCGCCCGACTACGGCAGCCTGCTCCCCCCGGACCCGCCGCAGCCGCCGGTGTTCCCGAGCGGGCGGCTGCAAGCGTCGGATCTGGGCCTGGAGCCGGCCCTCTTCGAGCCGCTGCACGCGCTGCCGCCCCTGCTGTACCCCGACAGCCCCCTGCGCCCCCTCCCGGCCGCCCTGTACGCCGCCCCCTCGGACCCGGCCGCGGAGAGCAGCCCCGGGGCGCCGGCGCACCTGCCGGCGACGGCCGCCTTCGCCCCGTTCTTTGCCGATTGCCCGCTCCCGCCGCCGCCGGCGATGCCCTACGAGTACGGCCCGGGCTACAGCCGGGGGGGCCCGTACCCCAGCCTCTAGCGAGAGAGGACGACGAGGAGAAACTCCGGAGGAGAACGGGCGCGGCGGCGCTGGGATTGGCGCGTGCCCAGTGGGGGGGGGGGCGGCATCGGGTGGCGTTTTCAGACTTGGGGAGGGGGCGAGCGTGAGGGGGATTTCGTGCACCCCCAGACTGCAAGGAAGACGGCAGGGTGCTGCCATGGACGGCAACAGATGCACCTGCCCCATAACCATGGTGACATCCTTAGCATCTTAATGCTCTAGACCAGGGATGCAGGACGCCAGTCTGGCCCTCGGGGGTTTGAGCCGAACCCTCGCCCGGCCTGCCATGCCTCTTCCCCTGTGCCAACTCCTTCCTTCCCCAACCACCAAGCACTCTGGGTGTTTTCCCAGTTTCCGTGCAGCTCCTCCGCTCTGAAAGATTACCATCTTTTTCTGGAAGCTTAGAAACTGGCAGGATGGCTTTAGGCTGAAAGAGGCTGGTCTTTGGGGGTTGCTGGCCCTGCCCGCTTTGCTTGGGGCCCTGCCCACACTTGGAAAACCGCCCCTCCAGCTTCTCAGAAATGGCAATTTGACCCCAAGGCTGTAAGAGGTTCTGCACCCTTGGCATAGATGTAAATTGGTTTACCAGCCTTTAATCTAAGGAACTGGAGGGTTGTGGGATCTCATGAGGATTCTTACCCCTTCACAACACTGCAGTCCCTGGGTTGCTTTGGGAGAAGCCACGACAGTTTGCGACACCATGCTAGACTTCCAGCATCTTTGTGCATAAAAATGCACCAAGCTTATACAGTGGTCTGAGGGAGCGGTTCTCTTCTGGCAGAGGCCACCTGGGCAGCCGATTCTTGGGCCACTGCTTTCTGAGTAAAGCAGCTCTTGGTTTTCCTTGGGAAACTAGAAGAGGAGTGATTTTTTTCTTTTTATGGTGAGGTTCTGAAATGAAAACACCTTGCTGTTTTTGTTGATACCTACTGATTTGAGATGCCTGGAATCCTGGTTTCTCCTGCCCTGCATCTTCAAAATAAGTCAATTTGTGCAGCGTGGGATTGTGCTGGATTAAGGCCGACGTGTCTTGGTGGAAAATAAGCACACTTGCCTCTTTTTTATCTTGGCACAGTGGCCGTGCTGGCTGCAGATTGCCGAGGACCGCTGGACAAGCCGTTCTCGGCCGGCCCCTGCCCTCTGCCCGTCTGCAGCCTTGCCGCCATTGCCACCGGTCGCGAGTGCTCGTTCTTCCTTGTCGGGGCTGCCCCTCGCTTGCACGATAGGCAGCGAGACAGCGTGTGGCTAGTGACACCACTTCCTTGCCACCACAGGTATCTGGGCCAGAGAAAGAGAGGCAGCGGAAGAAGCAGCTTGGATGCAATCCGTCTTTAACGCTGTTAGTAGGCAGGTGGAAAGGATTCTCCTCTGGGACCTTCCCTTCAAAGAGGGAATCAAAGAGTCCACGACAGGTTGGCAAAACTGTGACAGAAGAGGAATAGGCTGCAGGTTAAAAGGTGGCAACATGTGGGCAGGGGAATTTCGGGCATCGGGGGACGGGGTGGGGGTCTTTTTCTCGAAATTAACGGATATCTGGCAGAAAATGTTAAGGAAATGCAGTGAAGGTCAGACTCCCAATTTGCCTTGCACCACTGAGGTAGTCCTGAGTTGGGAACGTGTCACCATATTGCTCCACCTTCTAGAAAGTCCAGTGGGGGAATGGAAATGGGGAATATTGATGTAAATGCTCATCTGTGCCCAAATTGCTTACACATCCATAAGTCCGTGTCCCCAGGTGACTTCCTCCTTTTGCTGGATAGATGCCTCAAATACACATAATCCATTTAGAAACCAGATTCTTTTACAGGGAGCTAACTTTTTCTTTCGTTATGGTGGCAAACATTTTACTAGCACAGGCTGAAGAAAACTCAGCCTTCCTTAACCAAGTGAGTTTCTTTACCTCTTCTAAAATTATGACTCCAGCTTCTTTGACCTGGTTGAATAACTGTGCATTGTTAAACTGATATTTAATTCCTTTGGATGTTCTGTTTGCAAAGCGTGATACAGTTTTGTTATATTGTTCTTTCTGGTGCAACCGATAAAAGTCTAAGATTAGCCCTGGACAAAACAGACGTGGCCAAGGGCTTGAACCTATGCATATCAGGAAGAACTTCCTGACTGTTGGAGCAGTATAACAATGGAACCAGCTGCCTAGAGAGGCGGTGGTCTCCCCCACTCTGGAGGTATTCAGGATGCAACTGGACAGCCTTCGGAGAGGGATGGGTTAACCGGGAGTCCTGCACAGAGCAGGGGGGTTGGACTTGATGGCTTTCTGGCCCTTTCCAACTCCACTGTTCTGTGATTCTATACCTGAACAAAAAAATGTTCTACATGCTGGGAGAGGAAGGACTTTCTCTGTCTAAAGATGCAACACTTTTGTCTATGATGTACCCTAAACGTGTTTAACTTTATTTTAAAAGAACTCTTTCTTCCTCCTATCCCCAAATTTAGTCAGATCCTTCAATGCAAATTCCTTTCCTGCTCCCACTTTTGTGAATGCTGGTTAGAATGTTCATTAGAGAATGCCAACGTGAGCCAGAGTGCTTCTAATTAAAGGAAATGACAGATCTGCTCGTTTCTAAAACCGAGACCTTGATCCTCAGAGGCAGTTGCTCTAGAGTAGAGCCTTTAGCATAATCTGCTGTTTAGGTTGCAGACGTAAACACATTGACGAAGGAGCGATACCTGAAGAACTCAGTAGGAGTTCTGTGTCACCCCGTTTAGGTTTGCACTGTTAAGTGTATGGCGGGATATTGCAAAGAGCAATACTAAGACAAGCAGCGGACTTGCTGACAAAACAGGAGAAAGCAAACTGGATCGGCTTCATTGCTGCATTCTGCATGAGCTCTCCGGGACTTCTTTCATGAACTTGTTGGGGCGATGATAAAGCCATGGAGTTGTCTTGTGTACAAAATATAATTGGGTCCTTAAGTTATGTTAATTAAAGTCTATGATCAGTCGGAAAACTGAGATGCACTGTGCTTTAACGACGGGTTAGCCAATTTGGAGGGGTGCCTTTCCCCATCGCTGGGTCTTTTGGTACGGTTGACGGTCGAAGCAGGTGTCCTACTGCGAGATTCTTAACCATGATTATTGGAGGAAGCAATTTCTGTTCCTGCGTTAATCACAGTTTGCAAAGGCACACAGGAAATGGAGCCAGAAAGCCTGAAAATAGGTTATTTTGTAACTTTGGATTCTCTTGACAGCTGTCAAATGGTTGACTGTCAAAGCAAAGCCCCAAAGAAAAAAGGGTGTTGAGTTTTTTGCCCGTTCTTAGTGGATTCTTGGGGGGTTTAGGCGCCTTCTTTAGTTCTCACTGCCTCCTCTTTTCCTCCTTTTGCCAGCTCTCTTGCTACTTATGCCCAGCCCAGCCTTATGCCCAGCTGCTTATGCCCAGCCCAGGCTGATCATAAGGGCGCCTCTTTTTGCAATCCCTTTCTTTTGCTACATGTCAAAAAAGAACTTTTTAAAACTCTGGCAACTCTCTCCCATTTGCCTTTTTTTGAGAGGGAATATGCAACAGGGTATGGTGGCCGGTTTGCCGGGGATGCCGTATGAGGCGAGACTGAGGGAACTGGGTCTCTTCAGCCTGGAGAAGAGGAGACTCCGGGGGGATCTGTTGGCGACATACAGGTACATGAGGGGATGTCACACGGAGGTGGGTAGAGACCTGTTCTCCCCTGCAGAGGAAGGCAGGACGCGCTCCAACGGAGCCAAGCTCAGGGAACCCAGGTTCCATTTAGATGCCAGGAAGCACTTCCTGACAGTCAGGACCCCGAGGGTGTGGAACAGGCTTCCACAGGAGGTGGTTGAGGCCCCATTGGTGAGGGTGTTCAAGGATAGGCTGGACATGCTCATGGTAGGCATGTCATGAGTGGAGCTGGGGGTCAGACTAGATGGCCCAGAAGACCCCTTCTGACTTTCTCTGTTTCTATGTATTTCTGCATTATGTTCTGTCCTGGCCATTGAGGAAGGACTAACTTGGGTAAGTATAGGCAGGAAGGTTATGATTTGGTTTTGGGTGGGGTGGAGGAAGCCCTGTTTCCAAGCTTGCAGCTTTCCTTAACCTGGTGTCGCTCTGCATTAAACATCACTGGCAGCCAACAAGTCCATGACATGGACGTGAGAATTGAACTATGCATCTGGCCCCTCTTCGTTTGTCTAGATGTCAGGGTTTTGTTGGTTTTTTTCATGGCTGATTCCACACTGGTGCTGAATCAGTGGGAGAAGAAAACTCGGGGAAGAAATAGCAGCCTGCATGTGTCTTGAAAATTAAAATTGGATCAGAACTACTTTGCCATCACATTTCCAGCAGTGACCAGCTTGGTGCCTCAAGAAAACACACACGCTGGTGGATTTTCCCTGTTGTTTGTCCCCTGTGCCTGGTATTTAGAGATAGACTCCCTCTGTATGTATGGAAGTTCCTTCTGACTATCTTGTCTAACAGCTTTAGATAGATCGATTCCGATGTTGTTACGACCCAACTCTGCTGGTTTGGACCACAGATCCAAACTGAGCATCTCCAGATGAAGTTGGACTAAAACTCCCATCACCTGTGACTACTGGTCATAGGCGACTGGATGGAAATCGGAGTCCCACCGCATTTAGGACACAGGTACTCCTTACACTACACCCTCTAAACGAGTGGGAAATGAATTGCACCAGTTACTGTGTAAAGAACGATTTCTTGTCAGTTCTGGTTACCCCTTCCCCATGCAGAAGCTTTGCTAGGAGACTGTTACTCATGACATGGAGAAAAAATATCTCCAAGGTGTTTTTCCTTAAAGCATCTGTAGTTTAATACCAGCCTTTCCAAACCTGCAGCCTTCCTGATGGTTTGGACTTCCAATTCCCAGGATTTCTGAGTGATGGCCATGTTGGCTTGGGCTTCTAGAAGTTGAAGCCCAAAATACCTGTCTGCAAATCGGATGGTTGTGTTGGTAGGGGATGGGGGAATCCTAAATCCATAGCTGAGCAAG